AGGAAGGAAGGAAGGAAGGAAGGAAGGAAGGAAGGAAGGAAGGAAGGAAGGAAGGAAGGAAGGAAGGAAGGAAAAGTTACCCATTAGATAGGTTTTATGTTGTTTGGTTTTGACTTTTTTGCTTTTTTAAATTTAATATCAGAGATTTCTCAATATTTAGCAACATCATGTTGCTAAAGGCATTTCCTGAATTTTAAGTGTAAATCATAGAGGGTAGTTTTGGTCATTCATGGGGCCTAGAACTTAACTTACAAAGTTTGTGATTTACTACTTTGAAATGGAAATTGTAATTAACATCAATAATGCTTGATTTCTGAAGATAAACAGATCTGAGTTTTTGGCTTTGTTCATAAGGTAATGGTTTTTCATTCTTTGCAGATCCTTCATGGATTTAAAAACCAAGTCGGGGATGAAAATTGGAGGCGATTCTCTGACCAGTTTCCTCTTCCCTTAAAAGAGCGTCTTGCAGCTTTCTATGGTGTTTAATCTAATACACTTAAGCTGCGTCCCAGAATTAGGGGTAAGTTACAAACTTTGGAAATTTTTAGAGTGAAAATATTTAATGAATACGCAAGTCAAATGTGTCGTGTTGTCCCTCCATCTCCCCCATCCCCCAGGAGTCTTAGATAAGCAGAAATCCTGGTTGATGCACTGGTTTGATTCTATACATTATTTCATCCCTTTCTTGTTTTCTTTCTCCCTGCATGGGCAGCATTCTCAGTGGGTTCGGTTTTTGAAGCCTTACTTTATAGTCGTAGATGTAAGCAAGGACAAGAAGCTTTGTGTGTTGTGACCTTTAAGAAAACAAATTTAGAAAATTCTGGAAGTAGATGACATTTAACACTCGTTTGTTAATCACCTAGCAGCTACCCAGAATTCTTCAAAGTTGTTCATGAATTATCTCTTGGTCTGAGGAAGTAGAGGGCCAAGTACTTGGGTTCTTGGTCTTGCTCTTGGCAGTCTCTGTTCTCAGTTAGAGACTAGCAGCGGTGCTCGCTAGGCTCCAGCCCCACATCTAGTCATGCTGAAGGGTGACTGTAGTGTATAGTAAGGGGACTACGTACTCTTTGGATAGTATAGTGAGCTAGTAAAAATTCTCCAGGTTTTGAACATAACTTGAGACTTACCTATCTGACTGGAAGCCAGGCATAGGACACACTAAATGTGTAAAGTGTGTACTATACCAGATTAAAGTACCCTTTACATCACAAGGGTTTGGGGGTTGTTTTGTTTTATTTTTTTGCTAGCCGCTCATTTAATCTGAGCATGAAAGATTTCATTATCCAAGTTACCTAACCTAGGAGAGAGTAGAAATGAATTTATATAGCCTCAGGCTGTCTAGGCCCTCTGTGTATTGTTCACTTTAGTTATGAATCCTTGACTTCAGCATTTTGAAGTGTTTTAATTTTCTTAGGTCCTGAGAATGCAATAAAGGGGAATTACTTAGCTTTAAAGATTTCACATCGAGCTTGTGAGTCTTAGTTTGTCATTCTTTAAATTGGTCAGTACCTTTTATTCTTGCTTCTTTATGCGTGCATGCAGAAGCAAGAGAAAGCAGTTGATCATACTTCACCGATGGGTCCATTAACCTCTGAATTCATATGAACAGTTACAAGTAACCAGAGTGTAGCCTGAGTGGTTTTTAGTATTTTTGTAAAAGGACCACATATCAGACATTGGTTTATGTATTCCAAAAAATCTTTCTTAATTTCTTATGTAACAATTTTAAAAAGTCTACATCAGTAAAAATGAAATTGCCTGAGAGTATAGGAAATAACCAATAGGGTTGGAAGGATGACTAATTACGAACATCAAGAAGATGGGTGTGTTAGACTGGAGAGGTGGCTCAGTGGTTAAGAGCACCAGCTGTTTAGAGGTCCTGAGTTCAATCCCCAGCACCCACATGGAGTCTCATAGCCATCTATAATGGGATCTGATACCCAGTTCTGGCATAAAGCTGTCCATGCAGATAGAGCAATTCATATACACAAAATAAATTTTTTTCCCCCAGGATTTTTGTTTTGTTTTGTTAAGTTTTTTGAGGCAGGGTTTCTCTAGCTTTGTAGCCTGTCCTGGAACTCACTATAGATCAGGCTGGCCTTGAATTCACAGAGTTCCTCTTGCCTCTGCCTCCTGAGTGCTAGGATTATAGGCGAGTGCCACCACTGTACATGTTAAAAGAAATAAATCTTTTTTTTTTTTTAAAGATGATGATGGGTGTTAAATTCTATTTTTGAATATTATTGAATGTTCTGATCCCTGTAGGGTAAAATTAGAATTTATTTTCTTAAACATCAGATATTGTGATTTCATTTTAAGAAAGTAAAGTGGCATTATGCAGGAAATGTTCAGTTTGCATGACACCCATTCTACTAAAAGAAGTAAGGATAAATACCATGCAAAAATTCATATGAAGCACTATACACTGTATGTCCCCAATGTGTGTTCACTTTCATATTTAATGCAGGTAACTAACTGTTCAGTCTCACAAGAACATGGAATGCATGGTCTTTGGCAATTTGTTGAATTTCCTAATTTCTTTATAGGTAAAGATAGAAATGTTATTTGACTAGTTTTATGCTTCATTGGCTCTGAAAGAGAGGCAGGTATTAAAGATAAAATTGGTTTTGTTTTTTTGCAGGTCCATCAGTCTTGGAGACTATAAGGGAGCCTCTGCACCCAGGGAAAATGTTACCCTTTACAGGGGGGAAGGGTAAACCAGTAGGGAATACAGTACAATCCCAACCCTACTGGGAGGGGCGGGAGGGAGGTGTTGCCGTCACTGTATTAAGTCGATGTTGGGAAATGTTTTAACATCTGGAGCCTCTGTGGGTGGAAATCTGTCTCCAATTACAACTCTGCACTGGATGTGAAGAAGCAAAAACTATTCAGTCTACTCACAGAACAGTACTTTCTGGAATATTATGGGGAATTGTACCAAAACAAGAACCACATAAACAATGCTTAGGGATAAGAAGGAGGAAAATCCCGTGGTCCACAACAAAGGAAACCTAAGAGTGGGAAGCTACAACAGTAAGGAAGCTTTTTTCATTAAAGGTTTTTATATAAATTTTCCCACGTTACGGGGCCTTGTTTTTGCATGCTGATGAAGAACTACACAAAACTAACAGTTAAAATCAGCTTGCCTCCCCTAGTAGAAGCAGGTTCTTGGAAGTTACAATTTAAGGTACCCCCAAAAAGTTGGAAATAAAACGAAACAAATTTGAACAATGAAGCACCCTGTGAGATGCCAACGAGTCACTCCTTTTACCTTTGCGGGCTGGGCAGGGAGGGAGGAATAAATGGGGTCGGGGTATCAGACTAAAGGTGACATCTAATTTTACATTAAAACGTTAGTGGATATAATTTCATGGTTGTACTTCTTAGATTTAATTTCTAGGCCAACACGTTATCTTAAGGTGCAGTTTAAGGTTCAGGCATGCGCTCTGGCTCATAGTGATTGAAAGTGATGTAAATTAGTGGGACCGTAGCATGCTTGCATCACATAGAGTGCAGTTGGTATCCATTTACCTATGTTGCGCCAGTTTGGGTTGCAGTTTACCAGTTCAATAGCCCTGCATTAAAATTACTTTAAGATTTGTGGATTTTATTTTTATTAAGAATATAGATATATAAAGTACTGTAGTTTACAGCTAGGCCTTGAAATATCTTTTTAGGATCTGTTAGGAATAAGATTGATATTGTATTGTGTGTAACCTGCACAATGTGGAAAGCTGATATACCTGTGCAAAATCTCTGCCTCTGTGCTGTCAGTGTGGTGTGCTTTCTGCATGGTTATATACTACTAGTGATTTTATCAAATTTCAAATTACATGGTAAAAGATCTGTAAAAGGCTGCATAAATGTTAGTTGGCACATAAAGACAATTGTAGAAGTTGAAACAGGATTGCTATATTTCAATGTTTATTCCCACTCAACATATTGCCTCTAAGCTTTCCTTTTTTTATTTTATTTTATTTTTTTGTTCAAAGCATGATCTTAAAGATACGTTTAAGTTAATGGATGTAATGCAGGGTTCCTACACTGTATTGGCGCATGTTGGTGGCCCTTTGTGCCCTAAGTATATGCACACAGGGTGCAAGTTCAAAGCTACAGAGTGAGAGTTGGTTTGGATCCTCTTCATTTCATTTGTTTGACTTTTCTGTTATTTCCCCCCCTCTACTTACATGTATTCCTGTGAATAAATCCTTGTTAAGTTAACCCTTTACTTTTCCTCCCATGTGTATTTTCTTACATACTGTGAATGTGAAGACCCTAACTGGTACACTTGATCTTATGTCCGTAGGAAAGTGCGAGTCTTTATTAATTTGGATTGTCTGAGCAGTGTGTATCCCATGATGATGAAGGAAAATGGAGAGTTTTGGGGATTTTTTTGTTTTGGTTTTTTTTTTTTTTATTTTTAGCTCTGCTGGTCAGAGATAAAGCCACGCCTTTCCATTTTTCAATGCTGCATATTTAATCTGCAACAAATTGTTAAGCCATAACAGCCTTTTTATATTTTAATTTGTCACCTTTGCATTGCAGAATAAATACCGAATAACCATTTTTATAAGCAGTTGCTCCTCTTTGCATGGTTCTGTTCTCTAAAAGTGTTGACTGATAAGGCCATTGCACTGAAGTGTGAGCTGTGTGCGTGTGACTTTATAAATGCAGTTTCAAAACATTTCACATGCATGGTAGCATGCAAAAAGGTTTTAGTTGTTGTGTATGTGTTTGTTTTAACATGTTGTTTTACCTTCTTTCCTTCTAGTTTGGCTTTGCAAATTTCAGTCTGTAGTGCCTGAAATAAAATCATCTACAATGCCCAATCATTTTGTTAATTTCAAGCTAGACTCAAGGGTGTATGGCATTTCCTTTTTAGTACAGTTACCTTACAGAGAGCTCAAAATTTGCTTCTTGGGTTGGCTTTAAAGCCAGAGCAGAATAACTGTTTTACCCTTGGGTTGTGTATGCCATGTAGTGCTTCAGATGCTTTCCAAAACTTAACATAGGCGGTAATAGTCTTGCATAGGTAGTAAATAAACAGCCAGATTCGTCTCTTAACATACTAAAACAAATATAAAAACTTTCAATAAAGTGATATGGACCTGTGATAAACAATTCTGTATTAAGTAAAAGTGATATTGTCACCTGTCTGGTTAAGAATATATTTCCAATTTGGCAGTTATGCAGCACAAAAACAAACAATATTTAGTTTTGTAGTAAATAGATTTGTTTCTAAATTTAATAACTTTATAATAGAAAATTAAGTAAATATGACTGACAACCTAAGATTAGGGGTATTTTCTAATGTAGTTTTCTTGTTGAGGCTATTGTTTCTTCCTAATTTATATTATATTTCAGACAACATAGTATAGCACAGGAATTTGCAGAAGCCATTTAAGTTTTTTATTTTTATTTTTTTTTTTTTTTGAGGTAAACGCTGAGTTAGCATATTTTGTTTTGATGAACATAACACATCATGGGATATATAGATATATATATAAAGCAACTTAATTCTTGTGGTGCAGTCTTGATAGCTTTGAATGTTGACTGAATGTCTGTGAGATCGTGCGTTTGTCATGGTTACATTCCAGTGTTTCTGCCTCTTGGCATGCTTAAAGCGCGGCTTCCTCCGCCTGCTCCTTTCACACTAAAATGCTGTTAGTGTGCTCAGCTACAGAGATAGCCGCTGCTGAGTGATGTAGATTTTCTACTTGAATATTTTTACGTTGTAGGAACCTCAGGAGGTCAGTGTTTACTGTTTGTATATGCCTTCCTTTCCTGTTTGGGCTTCTCTCTTTGAAGGATTCTGACAGAACAAAAGCTGCTGATCAACCTAAGTTGGGAACAGAAAGTGTGTCTGGTGGAGTTTAGATGCTTACTTGGCAGTTCCATGTTACAGCCCATTAATTAGCAAGTGAACTTAGTGCCACAGGTGTTCATTTCTTCAGGAAATGATTTTGCTTTTTGTATTGTCTAATCTCTTTAATGACTTCATACTGTGTAAGAAAAATCACTTTTGTATTGTTTGTTGGTTATTTCCAACATAATCAACTTGTAAATATCCTTAGAGCCAGTTCTGATGCTTACATTATTGCTACTTGATTTTGTTATGCAACTTAGATTTCAGATCTTAAAACACTTAACCAAGCCATTACATCTTAAAACAAAACAAGTAGCATACATTTTGTAATTAACATTGATAAACACTGTGATTTTTTTGGTTAAGACTTTTTCATTGATCTGAATTGCTTAAATTGCATATATTGTAAAATAGAGTCAGATGTATATTTTAAAATAATTTCAACTGACTTTCCTCTTACTGCTTTGTCTACTCAGTTATGAATATTCAGATACAAGTTTTATCTCAGGTGAATATCCTTGTATCATTTTGCTTTGGTGACATGTTTATAAAGAAAGATCATCATACTTAATAGTCTTGGGAGGTTTGTGAGTTGTTTTTGTTGTTGTTGTTTATGTATTTTATTGATAATCTGCCCAGTTAGTCTGGTGTTCCCTCCCTCCACCCCCAGTTGTCCTGTCAGACTGGAGCGGTACAGAAAGCTCTCACACTTAGTGTGCAGATTCGTCTGAAGTTGAGTCAAGTTTGGTTCTCCTCTTTTCCAGACCCTCAAAATACAAAAGTGGAACCTTTTCTCCCTGACATAAAATTCTCTGCATAGTTGAGGTGCCAGAATTAAATTATATATTAAACTCTTGTATCAATTTAACACCTTTGCAGTAAAGAAAATTTTTTTGCTTCATGTAGTTAATTATATTCATATTGAATGTATTAACAGATACCAGAGCAAAAGCATTCTTCCCAGGAGAAGAGTGTGTCGTGCATACCTAAAACCCTAATTCCTTCCTTTGCTAATACTACAGGTGCACACAGATTTGCTTACGGAGTTACTTTTGCAAATATTACAAGGCAGGGAGACACTAATTGTTGCTGCTAGTACTGTTTAATAAAGTGAGCGAGCATTGGAATCTAAAAGGAACATAGGGTCTTGTGGTTAACAGCCTGGGATAATTGAGAAGGAAAAAGAGCAGTAGCGGCCTGTGTTGGTAACAATATTATCTATCTAGTATCAATACCATACAGTAGCATTGTATATCAACTAGTGAGTGCACTTTGTAGTGTATTACATATGGCAATGCTTCTAAGGCCTCTTTCAAGTTAAGTTTCACATGAAAGTTATTTTCTCTTACCTGTATGCTTTCTAGGTAAGTAGAAACTAGCTTCAGGCTTGATATAGATCTTTTCCCTGTTGGTATTACATATATGTAGATAATTCTCAATGCCTAATTATTATACTTATACAATTGTAAGGAATACACTTAATTACAGCAACTGCTTTTGTGGTTTGTATCCCAGAGTGTATTGTGTTGAAATAAAAGATGCATAGCAGCTGAATGTATGCATGACTTAGAGGGAAGTTAAAACCGATTTTCTTTTTCCCACCTCTGTACATTAAAAACTAAGCCAAATCTATTTGCCAATAGTAGATCACTAATTACAAAGCTAGTAGTTTGTCTTTTAGTAGGAGTTTTTGTTTGCCATAAGTCACTCTTACTGTGGCTTGGTATTATGCAGGATTATCTCTTTCACAGGTGTAGTCATCTTGCTCAATGCCTGCTGTAACGTGGTTAGCCTATAAGGCAGTGTTGTCCCTCCTGATGTCCACCGGGTTCCACTATATTTTCCTCTTACCTTTTTGTCCCTGCTTTCCTATGTGGATATATAACCAAACTGAACTTCATTGTTTTTTTTTTAATGGAGATAATATTAGATAATACTGTGTAATTAATTTTACTCAATAGATTATCATCTTAAGAGTGCTTAAATGTGGTCAATCACTTCATATTATGAAAGTTTTACACTTAATCTTCATGCTAACGTTGGGTGCAATAACTTAGTAGTACTTGCTTAGTTATGAATAACTGGATCTTTCTGCTGACAACTTAGGTTGTATGAGTTATGCTTAAAAGCTTTAAATCTGATGTTTCCTGTACCTGCCACACTATGTTAGAATGTGTCCTTCAAACATCCTCCTGCAACTTCTCAAACTGTACTCAATTGATATTTCTTGAAGTCTAACTCTGTGCTGACAGATCTTCATTTTAAATAGAATACGGTTTTAATTTTTGATAAGCTGCTGAATTTTAAAGAGAGTTTTTTGGGGCCACCAAATATTTTGGATCATGCAGAGAATATATATTGTACTGTAGTAATTTTGTATTTACATTTGTATGATGTGACATGATAGACGTGAATGTTAATCACTGCTTGACTATGTTAATAAAGTTGTTTAACTATAGACGTTGCACTCTGATTTTTAATGGAAAGAAATTCTTTCTTTGTTTTCCTCCATTTTGTGTCCTAATAGGTTTGGTGGGGATTTTTTGGGGGTGGGATTAAAGTGTGGTATGATTTTTATTGGTTTTGGTTTTGTTTTCTCTATCTTACACATTAGTGAGCTGTTGTTATCCAAGCAGCCTTTTTTTCTTGGTCATGTACTACAGAAACTTTTGCATACATTTTAACTACTATTAATGCTTTTCAACTCAAGCTGTGGAGGATTGGTGCAATAACCGCTTTGCCAAAGGAAACGAATAGAGGTGACCCTGTGACATAAAGAGCTGATGATAGGGAAGACAGTGTAAGAGTGTCCTGTTGTAGCTCTGCTACTTCAGAAAACTGAGACTTGTGGTTTTGAAAGTTAACACTTTCAAGTCATTTCCTCTTCAGGCTGTAGTCAACTAATGTAATTACATGTTACCAATTAAAATTTAAATGTATTGATACATCTAGAGTCTGCACACACATAACTGTAAAGTGCTCTTTTTAACCCAAGTATAGAACATTTTAGAACAAGAAAGGGCCTGAGGTGAATCATTACAGCCCAAAAACTTACAAAGTGAAGCTTGGATTTCTTGGCTTTTGTTAAAAATATTTATCAGAGGCAGAGAGAGTCTGTGAGTTTGAGGCCAGCCTAGTCTACAAGAGCTAGTTCCAGGACAGGCTCCAAAGCTACAGAGAAAGCCTGTCTCGGGGGGAAAAAAAAAATTGACGTAACATAATTGTGTTGGTAAGCATAAGCTATGCATTGGAATTGAGATACAAGGTTCACCTGGCAGAAGGAATTATAGAGTGCAGGGTTGGGGAGAAAGAAGGACACCAAGGAAACCCACAGAATCAACTATCCTGGGCTCATAGAGACTGAACCAACAACCAAGGAGCCTGTGTAGGACTGAGCTAGGCACTCTGTGCATATGTTACAATTGTATAGCTTAGTCCTATTGTAGGTCTCCTAAAGTGGGAACAGGGGCTATCTCTGACTCTTTTACAGACTTTTGGGACTCATATTGGGTCACCTTGCCCAGCCTTAATACATGGGGAGGTGCTTAGTCTTAATACAACCTGATAATGCCATGTTTTGTTGATACTCAAGGAGACCTACCCTTTCCTGAGCAGAAACAGAGTGGCCTGGGAGGTGAAGAGAGGGAAAACTGACCAGGTTGTAAAAGAAATAAATTGATTAAAAATGAAAAAATATAAAAGAGCCCAGAGTGTGAGATTTGGTTTGTAGAAATGTTTATTTCAGTCTGCCCGATCATTAATTCAGGTTCTAATTTGCTTCCTAAAAAAATTGTTCCAGAAGATGAAATCTTGACATTTGTAGTGAAACTACAGTCAGCAGCTTTATTCAGTTTTTTATTCAAATGATTTTCTTTTCTCAGTTCGTATGATAGCCATATTAGTAAGCAAGTAAATAGGTCACTCCGTTTCTGAACGGGCATTTATAGTCTGACATTTAAAAAAATCATGTTATTATTTCGGGATTGTGGTTGACGTGGCAGTGGAACCATACAGATCTTCGGGTGGGTCTTCTTTATAGTGCAGCTGACAGCGGGAGCTACTTACACTGCGGCTGTCATTTGAGCTCTTTTGTCTGACTTCCTGAAATGCCCCTTTATATACTGCAGTTCACAGGTGACCGTCTGAAGTGGAGTAAAACTTGATCCACTGGTAGTGATGTGAAGATTGTTCTAGTTGTCACTTTCAGATTTTTGTCCCAACCTCCTAGAGTTCATTTCTAGAAATGTTACAGGTATCTTACTGTGACCATTTCAAGTAGTCCTTATCAGTATTGGTAAGAAGTGCATCAATGCACTCAGGAGGCAGAGGCAGGAGGATTTCTGTGAGTTCAAGGACTACATTTTTTGAAAAAGAGGCCCTTTCTCTAAAAAATAAAAAAAATAAATCTTAATGAGTCTTATCGGTAATTTGCTGTTAATACTTCCGAGTACATAATAAGCGAGGAGAATTTCTGCATTGTTTCTAGGCAGTGTTGTGTACAGCCAGACTTGTCAGCTAATGGGTGCCCACTGATGTAGCTACAACTGCCCTCTTGGTGTGCATTCAGATGTTATTTCTGGACTTTTCTGAATGAAATAGTGATGAATGTTGAGGTGCTGAAATACTTGTCATACATTTACAGCAGTCTTTGTGGGATTGGTAGGCCATTGCAATAGTAATAGTTAGCTCACCCGAGCCAGCTTACAGTGTACTTACTCTAAGTTGTAGCTAATGGCATGGGTTTCGAACTTCAGGAAGTTTTATGTATGAAGTGTGTTTTCATATTGCAGATTTAAGTTACCCCAGTCTTACGTTACAGACACTGTTCCTAGTCCCATGAGGTTTTGTCTGTTGACAGAGAGCTATGTTAGTGGTGGAAAGTGCTAGTGTAAGAAAGGAGCTCAGGGCACTGTTTTGTTACTTGAGCTGAGGGGAGATCAAAGTAGGCCTGAGAGGATGTCATTTGAGCAAAAGTGAGAAGGAGTGAAGCTGTTGATCCTGGGGAGATTATCTCAGGCAAGGGAACCATGATAGATGGTCTGAAAGGCTATGCATTTGCGAGCACCTTAGTGTCTAGAGCAAGGAGAAACAGAAGGTCTAAGGGATAAATGAAAGCCGAATGGGAAGGGCTTTGTAGGATGCAACTCATTGAAAATGCCCTATGGCCCTAAGGTCAAAATGGGTTTGGGGTGGGGGATGGATGCTGTTGTGGTCAGGGGAGGATTTGAACCAGGGTAGTAGTGGGAAAATTGGAAAGCGATTGGCTACTTGGGTATGTCTTAGAGTGATCAGGGTTTGACAATACACTGAATGTGTATATTGTGGAGGAGGACAAAAGGACATAACTGCAGTTAGCTGGAGGTAGTCATGAGAAGTAGAGAGCGCATTTTTCATAACAGGCAGATAACCTGCTGACTATGATGAGCTGGAAGTTTGTGTATAAATGTAAGTTCAGATCATAAAGCTGAAAAATATCTGAGAATGGCAAAGGAAATGGGAAGGGGAAAGAAGAAATAACAAAACTCAGGGACCAGACTGAAGCATTTCAGCCTGAAGCTCAAAGGTGAGTAAAGAAAGCCCGAGAAGTGGGGGCTGGAGAGACGGCTCAGAGGTTAAGAGCACTGACTGCTCTTGTGGAAGTTGAGTTCAACCCCTCAGGTGGTGACTCACAGCTGTCTCTGATGCCATCTTCTGGTGTGCAGACCGACATGTAGACAAAACTCAAACATAAAAACCACAAATAATAAAACAAAGAACAGAAGCATGGTGTCTGAAGTCGGGGGTGGGGGAGTCGAGTGGACTTTGCTCTCAGCAGTATAGAAGGGATTAGTTTTGGTGGGGTTTTAAATAACTATAGGAAAAAATGATGCTCTCTCTCCAGGGACTCTTAAGAGACCTTGGGTTTCCATTTTCTCAAATTCAAATTGGCGAGTGACGTCTTCGGTTTTCTGAAATTAAGTTAAAAAATTTAGAAGCGTGTGAAAAGCAAGTTGAAGTAGCCAGAGATCACTTTGAAGTCCACCTCCAGAAGATTTACCACTTGTTAGCTGGATAAAATTATTAGAATTCATGAAGTCAGGCAGAAAATAAGTTAAAAAGGTAGAACAGTCTCTTCCCAGAGCTGTGAAAGAGGGGTTCCTCTTGGGAATCAGTAACTTCACAGAGCTAAGCTCAGAAACATCTGAACATGAAACTACTGTACTCCAGTGGACAAGACGGATTATTTGACAAGTTGAAGGCAAGGAAGTTGGGTTTATAACTTCATGTTCCACCAGAATTCCTGATTTGAAGATACTGCACTAAACTTTTTAAAATTATTTATTTTCATGTTTATTTTGCCTATGGGAAAAGTGCCCACTAAGCTAGACGAGGGCATCAGATACCCCGGAATGGGAGTTACAGTTGGCTGGGAACTGAGTTCTTGATCCTCTGTGGGCACAACCAGTGTTCTAAACTGCTGAGCCATCTTCAACCCATATGTTCATTTGTTTAAAATAATCGTAATATAACATGACATCTGAGACAGCCCTCTCCTAAATAGTTGATTTTTCAAAAAGTTAATTGTGCATGTCAAAATCAAGTTACAAAGCTCAGCAAGTCAGACAACCCAGTAGAAAGGCTGGCGAAGGGGGACTGTTTCTTCTTTTAAGTATTAATAGGTCTAGGCCAAGTGGTGGTGGTGCACACCTTTAATCCCAACACTCAGAAGGCAGAGGCAGGCAGATCGTTGAGTTCCAAGACAGACTGAAGCTACATAGATACCCTGTCTTGGAAAAAAATGCAGTGTAAATAACTATATAATGAAGTTGAAGAAATAAAGACAAATATGCCTGTAGATGTTGAATTCAGATTCGGTACCCACCATCAACCTTCCCTTCTTTCCCTCACATGTCTCCTGTGTTCTGTTACCCACGCCACCTCCCTTAAAGCCTCGTTTTCTATCTCATGGATGTTTTTCAAGTTTCTTGGTCTCTACCCACATTTATCCCACTAAGTACTATGTACTTGATATTAGAAGCTGGGATTCACATAGAGAAAAGATGTAGTTGAGCCTGGATTACCTCACTATATTGCTTTCTAATTCCATCTGGGTATTTTGTTTTGTTTTGTTTTTTTGCAAATTTACTTATTTATTGCAGTTTTTCATTATCCATTTGTGGGTCACAGAGATAACTGTCTATGTTTCTTGCCGTTTTTACCACAGTAGCAAAGAAATGGAACCAGTCTTAACTGTCTACCATCAGATAAAAGAATTGAACTAGTAGGGGCATCACATTTAATGGGGTGAAATCCAACCTTAGTTTGGTCACCTGAACACTGACAGAAAGTCGAGTAATACTACTAAATAGGAAAAATACAATAAAGAGGTTTTGGCTGTCATCTTGGGATGATTGTTGGATTTATTTTCCTTTCTGACTAAAGCGGAATTACTGCTTGAGTACTTAATATGCAAGTGGG